ATAGTAATAGGGCCTTTTGATGCATTTATCAGTAGTATATATTGTCACGCCGGACGCCTGTCCGGCAGATATGACAGGCGAAACGCTCCTTCCCCGACTGCCGCACCGGCACGAAGCGGACAGCTTCGTACTGGACTCCATACCCACTGGATGGGCTGTCGTGGTGGGGCGGAGCCGCCAGCGCCACAGCGTCCGGTAATTGGAGAGGCAGACGGAAGAATTCCACCACTCCAACACCGGAAGAAGAGGATAAAAGGACGCCCTTCCTTCCGCCGACGCGTTCTTGAGTACCAACTCACTGACACTGCACCTGTCCGTGAAGTTCATACAAGATATTCCATCCGCTGACGCGGATCCCAGGTTAATATTAACCTCTCTCTCTCTCTCTTTTCCCCAAAACTTTTACTCAAGTACAAGTAAAACTACTTGTAATAATAATTACTCAAGTAACAGTAAAAATAATAATGTTACTAATTACATAAGTAGGAGTAATAAAGTATCCAATGAGAAGAATACTTAAGCAGTAAGTTACTAGTTACTTCGGATCTGATTCAAATGAAGGGAAAATCCTGAATCTCAGACCACATGGAGAAATGTAAGTCACACCTCTCCTTGAAAGTCTGTTTGTTCTGTTTCTATGATATAAAACTTGGGTTCAAGATGAAACAGCATATCTCAATCCTGTGATGGGTACAGTAAGACGGAACCTGTCATTTTCAACACAAGATCTCACACACATCCCAAAACACAAACCTTTTCCCAACAGGTGACTGTCTTTATTTTCTCAACAGAGAACAAAATGACAGACTATAGAACAGAGCAGAAGAGAAAGTGTGTCTAGAAAGAGAGTGTTTGTGTGTGTGTGTGTGTGTGTGTGTGTGTGTGTGTGTGTGTGTGTGTGTGTGTGTGTGTGCGTGGTTCGCGCATGTGAGGGTGTCCTGCCTATCTTCCGGGACTGAGCTGCTAAAAAAAACCGCAAAAGAATTGCGTCCACATTCAGACCACTGCAGCATATCGCAAGACTCACAGACTCATTACAGTGACCCCCACTAAAATCCTTGTAAAATATGAGCAAAGAAGGCTATGAAATATTTTATTTATTTATTTATTTTTATTTCTTGATCTTTTGATCTTTTGTTCCAAAAATTCACAAAATACTCTGAACATATGTCTGGAGTAGTGAGCTGAGACCTGTGCAGTGTGTATTATGAACATAGTAGAGAGGAGTAGAGAGGAGAATCTCTGCTATTCTAGTTCATTAACAGGAGCACTGGGCCTAGAAATATAACACAGAATTGATATGAAATACTGAACATATCACTGAGGGCAAAGTGTGTGTGTGTGTGTGTATGTGTGTGTGCGTGTGTGTGCGTGTGTGTGTTTGAGACTGAATCTCTCTGCATCAGCAGTTCTAATCTCTGCATCAGTACATCTGTCACTCGCTTTCTATTTCTCGCTCTTTCCCTCAGCAGGAGAAGGTCAGTTAGAGAACCGCCATTACGGAAGCCCCATACCGTCCATCTAAAAACTTACTATGCGCATCTTCCTTTGTGTTTGAAAACAGATAATCTGAAATTAAGACCATAACTAAATATGCAGCCTTTTGTATTACCTTATATACAAATGTTACCTTTGTCCCATCTTACATTATTAGGGCATATTCTGTGATTTTCAACATGTGTGCACTCACCCCCACTTTAATATAAACACCTGTATTCCTGCTCATGAATTCAATTATCTGATCAGCCAATCATGTAGCAGCTGTAGCACAATGCATAAAATCATTCAGATACAGGTCAAGAGCTTCAGTTAATGTTCACATCCAACATTACAATGGGGGGTGGGGTGTTTAGTGATTTCAGTGACTTTGACCATGACATGGTTGCTGGTGCTAGACACATTGGTTTGAGTATTTCAGACATTGGTGAACTCCTGGGACTTTCATGCACAGCAGTCTCTAAAGTTTACACTGAATTATGCAAAAACATCCATTAAGCCTCAATTCTGTGAGTGGAAATGGCTTGTTCATGAGAGAGGTCAGAGGATAACGGCTACACTGATTCGGGTTGACAAACTACACTAATTCAAATAAGTACTCTTTACAACCCTGGTGAGCAGAAAAGCATCACAGAATGCACAACACATCGAACATTGAGGCTGATGGACTACAACAGCAGAAGACTCCATTGGGTACCACTCCTGTCAGTGAAAGACAGGAATCTGAGACTAACATAGGCACAATCACCAAAGCATAATGAATCACTGCAAGTCTTGAGTCTTATATAAATACCCACACGCTCATTGTATGACACCCACACCACACCTAATTTGTCCAAGGGAAAAAGACAAAGTCCTCCATCTGTCTCCTGCTTTAAACTGTCAGTGTACCTGGCAGGATGAAGATTATTTGTGTATGTATTGCTGCAGGTGTTGAGATCTTGAGCTGCAGGCCTGCTAGCGTGTGTGTATGATATTGGAAAAAGTAGACAGACACAGATGTAGGAGAAACATGAACAGTCATGTACATAAAACCTCATATAGATTCACTTTCACTAGACCTGAAACAAGCTGGGGAGAGAGAGAGAGCACACATATGTGAAGCCTTGAAAGTAAACTCAACGCAAACTGATGCACAACAGGTCAGAGGATGCTCTGAATTTTTTTTTGGTTTTTTGTTCCTTTCATTTATTTTTTTCATTAGCACAGAATAAACAGTAAGCAAATTATCCATAAATAAGTCCAACGCGAAAGAGAAAACCACCATACTCTCCGGAGATAATAGTAATATTGCTACTATGATATAATAATACATAAAGCTGGGAACAAACACCACTACATGTAAGCTGGATTTACACATTGTTTTGATAACCAAAGGCTAAGTGCAACTCAAATAATTTAATAATACTGTTTGTTGGCAGTTGCGCTATCCAATATAATTTGTAGTTCAAACAGCTGCAGACCCAAAGTTTCAAGGGGTGGACCTGGATCCAACTCCTCATATAAGCCTAACCCACACAACTCTGTAGGACACTAAACAACACATTTAACACACTTAGCCTTTCATAGATAATGTAGAACAAAGCCCTCGTACACACACTAACTCAGGCAGCAATAGCACAACACTGGTGCTGTCTAGCTCTGAAATCTGCTCAGGCTATGGGATGTTTTGCAGTCTAAACCAGTGTCCAAAATGCTGCACTACTCCCTATTCCCTACAAATGGGTACACTTGGACAAGAACCTATTGCAATGCATTGTGGGACTTCATGGGGGCAATGAATATCTTCCAGTATATTTTCTGACATGGATACAGTGCAGTTTCTGTGTAAACATCCTGATAGCTTCCTCACTCCTGCTCTGAGCACACTTTGCCTATCCCCTCAAGCAATTTACACCAATTCTTACTGTGCCTTGTGAGCCTCCTTGTATTTGTACTTACAGAGATTATCTTGCCTTTCTTTCCATAGAAATTTTTCGCTGTTTCCTATGATTTTGACCTTGTTACCCATGTCTTGTTTGTTGATTTGGACTTGTCTGCTTATGCTGTGAACTGAAGCCCAAGCTATGAGCTGGTCCATTAGTCCATCAGGACAACACACTGAGAAAAACAAAGAGCTGCAACAGAAACATATATTGAAGCACTGAAGGGCACTTTTAACTCCTTCATGCAAATTCTAAGCAATCTGTGGCAAAATATTCCTGAGCATGTGGACTAAGAGCACGTGCCAAAGTTGCAGTCTGTTACCACATGAATAGGGGTTTGGCCAAATGTGTTCTCGCTTGGCTTATGTTTCAGTCATTTTTTTTTTCTATTTTGTAAAGTGTAAATGCTGTCAGATGCGCTAATTAAAGACAGAAACAGCAAGTTCAGGCAGTTTCATATTTAAATGTGTCTATTTAACTGTAAAATCATGAAGGATGCAAAATCCTGTTTGCTTTCTTAGGAATTCCATCTCTAAAATGTTTACATGGTACAATAACAAACTGCATTTGTAAAAGGAGTTCTGGTTGAAAACAGGCTTGTAAGAGGAAGCATTAGGCTGGTGTTTGCAACCCACACTAACAACTGCTTAAACAACAGCCCTCACCACACAAACATATAAACAGATGCCTCATGTCCATCACAGGCAATTACTGGCTATTATAAAATGAAGACCTGTCTGTTCCAGATACTCCTGTCCACACCTCTCTTTTTCGCATTCATTGTCCCTAAACCCATCCTGCTTCCCCTATTTCAGTAAGATAAAGAATGAGAAGGGTTTTTTTTTGTTTTTTTATAAATAGAAGAATATCTCAATGAAATAACCAGTAGCAATAACAGCATTGTGTTGAGAGACTGCTTTTTCAATAAGTTCTTAGCTCGACATAGGTCAATACCCTCATTAAACTGCTCTCAGTACAACTGGGCTCGGTACTAAGGGTGTAACAATCAAAAGATTTGAATAGATGCATTGATTTAAAAAGCAACAATCATCAATAGATTATTATGGAATAGTATTGATTATAAATAAATTATAATTGATTAGAAACTTGATCATATCTATCATGGACTAGTAAATCAAATCGTATCATATTATAGCAGACTCAGTGGTGTATCAAAATATTGCCTTAAGACCGAGGTTTAAACCCCTAGTGTGCACATGGTGTATCTATACATAGTGAAGAGAAATGTCTAATCATATTTGTTGTAAATTTCAGAGTTAGTAGCAGTTAGTAGCAAAAAAAATCTAATACAAGTATACTTACACAAAAACAAGGGGGGAATCTGGTCTGATGGACTAATGGATCATGAAAGCAGAGAATCTTATACCTGCAAACAAACAAACAAACAAACAAACACAATTCCAAAACACAATTAATACACCTGCATTATCCGGTATTTATTAACTACCTCAGCCCGATGTTGTACAGTATTTTACTGCACATACAACTACACATATCTGCACTTTATTTATTCCTCATATATTCCATACTTTTTCTGATATATATCTTTTATATGGGGGCACGGTGGCTTAGAGTTTACCACATTTGCCTTGCACCTACAGGATTTCGGGTTCGATTCCCGCCTCTGCCCTGTGTGTGTGGAGCTTGCATATTTTGCCTATGCTTCAGAGATTTACTCTGGATACACCTCCAGTCCAAATACATGTGTTGTAGGCTGATTGGCATCTAAAATTGTCCACAGTGTGTGAGTATGTGTGCAATTGTGCCCTGCAATGGATTGGCACCCTGTCCAGGGTGTCCCCCACCCTGTGCCCCAAGTCCCCTGGGAAAGGCTCCAGGCTCCCTGCAACCCTGTGTAGGATAAGTGGTACAGAAAATGGATAGATGGATGAATATATTTTATATTTTTTATACTGTATTATATTTTTATATTTTACTTTACAACTTTCATTTGTTCTGACAACAATTTTTTTTTTTTTTAGAAAAGACAAAATATCTATATACCTAAACAAAATATCTATATACCTAAGCTAATGTGTCTTTTTTTAAAAATTTGGTGTCTGTAATGTCATGTCTGAAATTGTCTGCTGCTTTGACAAAACAATTTCCCACGTCTAAATCTCACTGTAGATCTATCTTTTTGTGATTGATGATACTAAACCTCTTATAAATTGGTTTATTAGTTCTGTAGAAGCACAGTGGCTTAATGGTTAGGATGCTTGCCTCGCACTTCCGGGGTTGGGGGTTCCTTTAGTGCCTGTGCACGGACGCATGTTGCATGTTCTTTCCATGCTTTTTGGGTTTCCTCCAGGTACTCCGGTTTCCTCCCCCAGAACGAAGACATGCTTTGTTGACTGTTTGGCATCTCTAAATTGTCCATAGTGTGTGTAAGTGTGTGTCCAATTGTAGATGGATGGATAATCCTTCTCTAAAAACAATAAATGTGGTTGAGAAAGCTCAGATTGAGCCTGTGATTCTCATAGCTTGCCCATACAGATTCTTACAGATTGGCAGAAGAGAAAAAATAATTTCAAGAGGTAGCAGAATGATGATTTTGAAGAAATAGTTGGTGCAGAAGAATGCACTGTACATACTAGACTCATGAATAACCTTCTACTTATACTGTGCCACTGTTGAAAAGTTAACTACATTAAACAGCTTTAGTAAGACATTCTTTCATTTGTGTCACAAACTGTAATAGTGTCAATTTATACAAAATCCTTTCTAATTTGGAGGTGGTTTGAGTTGTAGTCTTTTTTCGAAAATACATAATAGTATTTTTGTCATTTAGCACAGGTGGAAAACTTGAATAATTATACTTTGTAACTATATCTATATATTATTTTGGTGTATTTATAATTGATGTGTCATGTAACATCAGAGAATGAGCTCTGGACTACAGTTCCCAGAAGCCACTGCACCACACTATCATGTCACATGATCACATGCACCTGAACTTCATTCATGTTAACTTACAAGTATTTATAGTCACAGTTTGCACTACACTGGTTGTCTTATGTTTGTATCATTTTGCCATTGTTTGTTGTCTTGTTTCTCTGCCCAGAATCCATAGTTTATGTGTATAATCATTTGTGTTAGCACTTTTGTTTTAATTCAATTAAATCTGCACTTGCATCCTACTCGCATTCTGTGTCGTGACATGTATATTATTAACATGTAATACTTGTACTCTTACTTAATTACTTTTCCAATAAAAAAGTACTACTTACATGTTTATTCAACTTAGCCATTACAAATCACAAATGACTCCTCTTCTATTCTCTCAGCCAACAACTGTGCACTAATCAATCAAATGTTTTTTTCAGTTTTATCATCCAATCATTTCAGTTCATCATCCAGTCAAATTACTTAATACAGAAATAGAATCATGCCAATTTGTACTCTGCACCTCTGTGTCCACCTTGAGGGTAAGCACCTTGAGTCTACCACCATAAAATATTTCATTATGCAAGAGTAAGCAAGGACTTGAATAAAATAAGGCATCGCCTTCGAAAAAGCTAATTTGAAAACGCATGTTGAGGTAAAAGTTTTGCTAATTCTTTAACATTTACCGGCTATATTTAACTATGTTGGCCTGTTTACTTTGCTTATGTCACGATAAAATCATGATAATGATTAAACTGTTTGATGTAAAATTCAAACAAACACATGTCTGAGTGTGCAAAATTAAAATAAAGAAAAAAAACCCATATACTTAAATAAATAAATAAAAAGCTGTCCACAAGTTCAGCTGACCACAAGGTTTAAACATTTACAGAAATCAAACGGAAAAGCTATCCCCTACTTTATGTTTAATTCTTGTTAATTTCCTGACCAGTGATTTGTTAAAACCATTTAAAAGATTCATATTTCGCCATTTTGGGCTTGGCACTTTTTTTTTGCCAGAAGTGTACTGTCTTCCCCAACAACTGTCATTATTTTTCCATTATAAAAAAGTTTCTGTGACTAAACATATCCCATTCTTTTCTCATTGACAGCAATACTGTCCATGCTAGATAAGTATTAGGTGGAAAAACTATCGTTTTTAACTGTATGCTTCAAAGGACAAATTTAAGAATGTTGTTCGGTTAAGAGCTGTCTTTGTGGACAAAATTTCATAACATCCAGTTCTGTAAAACACACATGCATAAACAAACATGCACATGTCCTCACTGCCAAGGGCATGAACATGTCCTCACTGCCTTGGGCTTGACATGCGGCTTGGTATAAAGGTCACGATGCTCTTGATTTGGTCACCATCTGTCCAGTTCTGTTCATTAGCTATCTGTAAACTCATGTCTCATGTCTCATCTCTCATCTGCCACCCTCCGGGGCTATTTTGCTGTCCTGACCTCTGACTCAGTAAATTATGGGTCTGGACAGGTCAGGAGGTCACAGCAATAACTGTCCACTTGGTTAGAGGAAGAGAGTCAAGGGCTTGGACCATAATCCAGCAACTTCATCAATGAAACAGACTTTCATCACACTTCTATAGGGACAGCTGTGACTGTGACACTGTTAATGGAGCTAGCAGATAATAAAAGCTTCTTAGTCATTATGTTCCTTTCAGTTCAAATCGTTGAAGCAGATGATCTTAGTTATTTGCTAAATAAGCTAGTATAGATTAATTTAATAAAGATTAAAATCACAATTAATTCAAAATAGATAGCTTGGGTATATGGGATGTCATTGGTTCATAGTGATTTGGATTAAGCTGTATTGGAAGCCACAGTATGAATAATACATTCAATGGAGAAAGGCCATCTCCGAACAATGAATGAATGTACCATGGTGCAGATCTCATGCTTGGCAGGAGTGATGGCTAGATCCTGCAAAGTGACCTAGTTTTACCAGTGTGCAAAGCAGTGAGAGAAGAGAGAGAATTCTGTAGTAAAGGAGGATAGAGGGAGGAAGAGTGTGAAAAAGGGGGGTGGAGAGAGGAAGAGTGTGGAACGAAGAAAGAGGCATCTCCTTTTACCCCTGAGGACAAGCCTGAGGAAGTGGCATGTTCAATAAAAGATAAATCAATCTGGCCTGTCCCTGACCCATGCAAAGCTCATCTTCTGTCTACTGTATGAATTAACAATAAGTGCCAATATAACTGGAACATGCACACACATTCTTCTCTTTCATTATACAGCCACAATCATTCTGTGCAAAGCCTTGAAACAGAAAGAAAACAGTCCACACATCACAACTGTCCAAACATCAGTGCCATCTTGTCTCTTTAAATAATCTCACCTACTTTGGGCACTAAAACAAGTTTTAGAATTTTGTTGTCACCTGACACAATTCAGTTAATCCCTGAATTGAGACAGAAAAGAGCCTTCAGGGCTTTAAGTTGTCTGGCGCAGTGATGTATCAAAACAATGACAGTAACGGGGGAGTAGATTCCACAGAGCAACAAAATGTGATTGGGTAAAAACCAACCACAAAAGTGAAGCACCCAACACTCAAATAAAAAATTCATTTCAAATTTTTTAAATTCACTTTCATGTGGTTTGAATGTGTACATGTATGTGTTTTGTTCATGGAAAGATCAGGTCATCTGCATCTGAATTCTGGAAAACTGACAAAAACTACGAAACTATGGTTGACCAAAATTACATTTTTCTGCCAATAATATATTTTGTTTAAATGCAATTACTTATACCTCAGACCTTAGACAGAGACTGATGTGGATGAAGATAATAATCAAGGTGATAACTCATTTTCCATTGTAAATGTATAGAATGCTTCAAAATTAGGCAGTAATATTGTTTTTCTATAAGTAGATTAGGTTACAATTGCAAAGGTTGCAGTTAAAATGTAATGTTTACATTTTATTTACTCCTTTTCACTTTTAGCCATAAATTGGGACTTTGAAAAGCTCTAACTTCATTTGTGATTAAGATACAAAAGAGAAACATAGTTGAAGAAAGTCTGTAGTTTTCAGAACTTTACATAGCAGAAACTCAAAATTTGTGAAGGGTTTTCTCACACTGCCACACAAATAGCACTGTAATGCTCAGTGTAAGCTCTCATTTTACCCACACTCCAACATTTACACTGAGTTTAAGTTTAACATATTTAGATTATACCTGGCACGTCTTCTCTCTCTGAACTGGTGAGCATTATAAGGCCCTGTAGTACCTGTCTATTTGTCGTACCAAAGACCAGAATGACATCACAGGGTGATAGATATTTAGTGCCATAACGCCCAGACTTTGGAATCCCATCCTGTATTGACTGTTCTTGTTCTATTTTAAGACTCTACATATAATGTACCTCTTCATCCAACACTTTCACCCTTCTTCATCCTAGTCTTTTTTTTCTTCAGTTGAAATTATAAAGTGACTTTGAGTGTTGAAAAGGCACTATGTAAACGGAACCTACTCTAATGAAAATCATTTCTAATATTATATGTTTATTATTACCAGTGCTGTAATTGTCACTTTCTCTCAAGTCTAAGTCAAGTCTATGACTCTCAGCCTCATGTCAGTTTTCATACATGTATTGGGATGTAAAAAAGGAAATTTGCCTACTGCTATGCAAAATTTAGGGCGTGTATATGAACATATTGCTGAGCTTTCTTAACTGTCGACCTCAAATGGCAAAGTAACAAAAATATGTTTCCAGGATTCAACCATT